TGCATCTGGACCTGGGCCTATCAATATTGTGTGATTTGTTATTTAAAATCAAATGGAAATGACTGAATATGGTGCGCATTAAAGCCAATCAGATGTCAATGTCGTAGACAGTAATTCTAAATACAAGCATAAATTCTGGCCATGACTATGGTTTTAAGATCTTGTAATAACTTAAGTAGATGTATGATTATTCTTAACTGCCTGTCCCAACACTTGGCCATGTGAAATAAGTTACTGCTTAGACTTTGTTTGACCTCTGATAAATTCATACAAAAGACTTTCTTACCATCCTATTATTTTAGGCAAAAAAAAAGAATAAAGAAAACTAAAAAGAATTCACTGAAATTGATATTTGGTAGTCTATTAAAAATATTAGGAGTAATGTTTAGTGCCATTGGCTCATGCCTGCAATCCTAGCTGCTCATGAGGCAGAAATTAGGAGGAAAACACTTCAAACCCAGCTGAAGTATAAATAGGAGACCTCATTTCAATCAATAGCTAGATGAAGTGGGAAATGTAAATAGGTGGATAGTAGTGCAGGGAATACAAAGGAGAACTATTTGAAGAATATCAAAGGCAAAAAGAACATGGGACTGCTTGCCTAGCAAGCACATGTCCCTGAGTTCAATGACCCCCACTCCCAAAGGAATTAGAAATGAGGAACTTATTGGAATTTCCTTTGCAACAGCAACTACAAGACCATTCTTAATTGTAGATGGTAAGCATGTATACATCATTTCTCCTTTGCTCTATTTCTAGGCACCTAGTTGTAGAGCACATGGGCAGCAAAGATGGCGCTGAGATGGAGTTGAATGGGCAGTGGAAGCTTAGGTGCATGATAGGGTGTGACCTTGACAGTGATTGGTTCCTCTTCCTCCCCTGCTTTGCCACCCGCCCTTTTTGTCTTTAAAAAGGGCTGCTCTCTGTTAATAAACGAGTTTTCTTCCTGCTTGACTTGGCTCTCGCTGTGTCTGATTGTCTCCCGGGCTGAGGGAGGCTGAGGACCAGGAGAGCACTGCACTTAACTTTCCTCGGACCCGTTGGTCTTTCCTGGTCTTAAATTGATGTGGGCTAGAGATAGCAATAAATGGGAATATGCATGTCATTTAGTGAAATGTGGTCTGAGCTTAGTGGGGAACTGAAGTGCTAAGGATGAAGCGTGGAAAAGCCCGAGTGAGGTAGTTGTGTACATGTTACACACTGTGGAAATGTTTAACTGATCCTAATATGCCGAATGGGGCTAAGAAGCTTTTCATCCAATTTTATGTAATGCATTTGATTTAGGATGAGAATAAAAATAGAAGTGGGTCAATAATAAAACATTCATTCACACAAAGGAAAGGTGCCTGTCCAAGTTTTCTATTTATTATTAGGCTTAAGCCTAGTTAAATAGGTCAAACAAAAATACAAGGAAACACATCATGTCATATGTCTATTAACATGTCTTTCACAGTTAAAATGAGGTATTCTGCTTTTACAATGTTTGAGGTTGAATGAAGCAGTTCAATCAATGCCACAAGAAAGAAAGAGATACACTTGAACAATTATTTCCTAGAGGAGAAAAAAGCCAAGCAAAATGTGTATGAATGAGATAATTACACCACAGAACACATTTTAGAGTATCAGTTAGTATATATGCAAAATTTTAACCCTAACTTTAAAATTGGTACAATTTACCATTATTATTTAACTTAGTAATAACAAGCAGCTTTGTAAAACAACAGAGAACAAAACAATGCCTATTAGAATATTTATTAGATACATGTATCATTTATTTGAATTGATCAAGACTTATTTTAACCATTTAAATTTCTATATTTTTAAACTGCTGATCAGCAAGGCTAAGTATTATGTTTGGCATATATACAATAGCAATAATGCTTATACAATATGAATTTAACACTTATTAGTATTTGGGTATCAATGAGTAAGTATTATAGCAGCAAGGTAACATCATTATGAGAATATATCCTAAGATTTATCATATTGATACATATAGATTCATAACTGCACTATCACTAGTGCTATAAACTAATAAAATTGCAAATATACAGAACTACCAAAGGCCTATATTTGACTTTTCAAAGTGCTGTGCTTCTTATTGGGCTTAAAGCTTGTGAGCAAGCCTGTGCTATTTGAATGAAGTATTGGTCCCAAGTTCTGGGCTCCAATCAAGTATACTTCCAGTGATTGAGTGATGGTGAGGGGCAGAATAATGCATTTGAGAAAAGTTAAGAAGCAATGATCACGATGGTAAGAGTGTGTTAAGCAATCAACACACCATTTAACTATGTTTTTTGCCAGCCTTCTGGGATTAATGGTGATCAGTAGATGATGGAGGACAGCCAAGAGATAAGAGGAGAAAATAGTTTTCTCCAAATGAGGTGGGGAAAGATGGACATAGAAAATGACTCTAGATCACTGATGGCACCGCCTCAATAAACTCCCAGAAAATAAAAGGATGGAAATAGTTTTATCTGAGTTATTAACTTAAAAATGAGCTTGCAAAGTCCTAAAGACAAGTTTGAAGATGGCAAAACACTGGATCTAAAGCAGGATAGCATTATCATAGAATATTTTTACAGCACCCAGACGTGTGCTCTTTAAAGAAAATCGGTAACCTTTTTGTGGTCTATGCTTCTGAGTTAAGTGTACCTCAGAAATGCAGTGCTATTAGTATCACTGATTCTAGCAGGAAGGTAGTGACGCCTAAGGAGATAGTGGGTTCACAGGGGGCAGTTCAGAGCTAGTCAGAATCATCTGGAATTAAAGACTAAGTTTCTAAGCAAAACCACTTGTCATCCAATTGGTTCACTCCCGGGTATCCCAATGAAACACCAGCGAGTGACAAGGTATGGTGGCAAATGCCTGAAGCCTTGCTGCAGCAGAGGGCCAAGATGTATTGGCAAGTCAATGGAATTTAGAGAAACAGTCATGCTCTTCTATGCCATACCAAACTTCCAGTCACTCTTGATTCTATCCATTTTATTGGTTTCTCTTGACACAGCAAAGGCAAGGTCCCATGTGTTGAAAAGCCCACTTTCAGGATCCCACATATGCACGGACAGATTCTCTTGAGCCCTACGCCTTTTATTATGCAGACCACAGAAGGTGCCGTTTTGGTTAAGTTCATCAACTGACACTTCACTTTTGTTAAAAAGTCCAAGTAGTGTTCTCTACACACATGCATGGAAGGAAGAATTACCAGAATTACCCCTGAGTGTAAAAATTTAGTCTGAACTTTAGGAACCTTATATTTTCAGGTGCTAGTCAAGCAAGGCTTACAAAACACTCAGCACTGATATGACAGACAGCATCTCCACACAGATGAAAAGGAACAAGATGACTTGCCCAGCTCAGGGAGGGGAGTCTCCTGGTTGTACCCCATTCCTATGCTGATTCTGTTTCCTAGAACTTAACAATCAATAAAGAATATTACAAAACTTTGACTGTGGTATGCAATCAATCTTATGGCCTGATTTTCTAGTCCTGCTACCTTCTTTCTTGGCAAAGAAGAAGTAGCTTCACTTCTGTCTGAATTTCTCCTATGTCGTTAGTTTTGTGCTAAGCCTTTTTTTTTTTTTAATGCTGGGTTTTATCATGTCTCTTTGGGAGCATTTTCTCATGGTAAGATATATCATAACATATTAGAAAACATTTAATTTGGGAAGATTCCACTACAGTCTTTTTTGGTATAGAAGCAAACAGCCATGATACTGGGCTTGAATTCAAGACCTTACACTCTTGTCTTGCTTGCTAGTTTGGCTGGTGCTTGGCCACTTAAACTATGCTCCAGTCCTGCTTTGGAGGTGGGAATCTTTGGAGATGAGAATCTTAAGGATTTTCCTGCCTTGGCTGCCTTCAAATCTGTATCTATTGGACCTCAGCCTTCGGAGATTCATAGTCATGAGCCACCGATGCTGGGGAACATAAGTGTTTTGATTTGACTATGAGATCATGAACTAAAATTCCTAAGGTCTATCAATAGTTCTGCTTAGATCTTGTGCTTTTCTTCAAATTTATCTAAAATCCTGGGTTTGAACTGTAGCTCCACTACTGTAAAAAAAAAAAAAGTTCAGGGGTAGATTCAGCACTAAGGAAAATGTCTAAACAATTTAATCTACTGCAGCAAATATACAACCTTGCATGACGCTCTTTTATCTGCCATAATACGAAATTAAATCTCAATAACTTATTGTTCCTTTCCATTGTCTATTCTCTCTCTCTCTCTCTTTCTCCCCCCCCCAAGAACATCCTCTTTATCCATGATTCCACATCACACCTCTAAGAAACTCCTAGTTCAAACCTTTATAGCTTTTAACTGAAATCTGTGATGGCCCTTTTGCCACAAAAGTCATGGAAATGTGGCCATTAGAACAGTCCAGGGAGTGCATGAAAAACTCAGTTTTATTTTAGAATGAATATGACACTAAATTCTGTGAAACTATGTCCTCATAGCCTCAATCAAGTAGCTTTTTTAGCTGCTCTTGAAGTTATTATCATCATTATTTAATTTTATTTTTTGCAGTGCTGGGGGTATACATGTCAGGTGAATGCTCTATCACCGAAGCACTGTTACTCTTCTTGAAGTAAACTCTGAACAATTGTTGAGAGCCTTGTTTTGACCTGAAAGGTTCCCAGAACTTGTGAGAACGAGTGGTGTGGCTGGGTCACAATTCTTACTATTGGCTGTGGCAGAAAGATTCACTGACCTTAAGTCTGTTTTCTCTTTGTCCCAATTGTCTTGCGTTCTCTTTCCTGCCTCATGGCCAAAGAGCAGAACGCACCCATTCTTTACAATATGGAAAACCTTTTCAATGGAGCAGAGATTAGAGTGTTTGTTAGGGGAAAATTGTAAAGAATCCAATTTCCACCTCCAGGACTCGTGTGCAGATTTCCCGAATAAAACCAAGGCCAGTAACCCAAAGCAGCAGGAGTGAGCGCCTGCACTCACCACGCAGCACAGGGCTCCGGGCACAGAGACCTCGGGAAGGTTTTGTTTCTGCATCATGCTTGGTAACTTTTCGCTTAGCATGCTGACACTGAGGTGCACCTAAATGTTACAGTTCAAGCAAAGCACAATTCTACATTTAAAAACTAAGGAATAAAATCAAGTAAACAGTTCATTGAACAGTCACTAGCCATCGAGCCTTGCGGGCATCCCATGTAGATGCCTGTCGACGCTCCTGGCCTTATAGCACCAAACACCTGGACAAAGCTGAGGCTCAAATAAAACAGAGCAGAAGAATTCTCCTCTTGCCTCCTTATCTCTTTGCCAAGTCACAAGGGGTTAAAAAAGAAGGAAATGATCTCGTTCATAGCAATTGGCCAAGATTTAAACAACAATGACAACAAAAATTGAACAATAAGAACAAACCTAGACCCTGAAAGTAAGCCAGGGATTTCAGAGTTTGTCATTTGGGTTTGATACAGAATTGAAGGAACATTAAGAAAATGAGGAGACTCATTGTCATGCTTCAATCCAGAGAAAACTCTACTAAATTGGACCTTACTATCCCAGAAATTCTTTGGGAAGGGATTTCCAAGGTGAGAATGCAGGTTTTCCCAGAGGCATTTGTATTGTGACCTCCTCAAGCTGTGGAAGCAAAAAGTCAGGGTTTAAATCACTTCACAGAAAGTAATGACTAGAAGACCAAGCATTGCGGGGGTGTGTGTAGGGACCTGGGGGTGGGGCATGCATAGGCCTTCAGTGGTTCCTGACGATATTCTCCACTGCAGGCAGCATGCAAAATCCAGCTAGGAAATCACAGGACAGAAGTGAGAAAGGACTGGGACCAGAGTCCAGCAATCTTTATCATTCATACACCCACCCAAGATTCCACGAATATACTTCGCCTCAAGAATCTGGAAGCTGACCCTTCCTTGGAGATTCTTAGATAGGGTCAAGGTGTGCTGAAGTGGACATATCCTCCTGTCCAGCAGTATTTCTATGCCCCATTAATTTCCAACACTCTACTGGAAGGGCTACATTAAGAACTGAGATGTCTTCATGTCAGGTTTCATCTTCTGTCCCCAGGGAGTGGTGTCTCCAGTCTGGACCACATCCACAAATGGACACTGTCATCAGCAGGACCGGGGAAGCCAGAAGATCCGCAGTAGATCCGAAGTCACTCGCAGCCCTGAGACAAACAGTCTTGTGGAGAAAACAAGATCCTGGCAACATCTGCCTAGGGTGAAAAAAAGTCTAGTAGTCAACCGTGTGAGGGCTCCTGAGGTAAGAAGCAATGCAGATCCTTAATGTTATAAATAAATAAATAAACAAATAAATAAATAACGAAAGCAACTGAAATACAAGAGGGCTCATTGGAGATAAGCACCTCTTCTCAATAAAAATAAAAAAAAAATCCCCTCTTAGAGTGTCAAGGCCCTCATGCAATGGTGATTATTAGTAGGCTCAGAAGAACCTGTAGGAAGGAAAAGCATGGAGATAAGAACTGGAAACATTCCAACGCTGCACATCTGTCACCTGATGACACACAAGTCATCTGAAATATCCCCGAGGTAGTCTTGTTTTCAAGGAGTTGCAAAGGGCTCCAGACCCACTTGGAGCTTCTTCCCCCTTTAATGCCATTGCACATTCCCACACATCCCGTGTCCGCCTCCGTGGAATCACAGGCAAGGTGCCCCCCACTCCGCACTGTCAACCACAGTACAGTTGGAGGCCTGGGCTGGCCACAGTGAAATGCAATTCCAACATCTGGTTTGCACGCCCCACTCCAAAGAGGACTCTGTCAAATGATGCAGGTGCTTACTTTTGGGGGGATGCTACAGAATAAAATCAAAGAAGTCTGGTATGCAACAAACATGCATGTCTGTCTCTTATTGAATCCACACTGGGAAGATATCCCCTCATTGTGCCTTTCACTTTTAAGAAGGAGCCAAAAAGAAAGTGGAAAGGAATCAATGCTTTAAAATTCGGAAGCGCATCTCTGATACCAGGAGCAATACGTACTGTTTACTCTCAATTCACCAGGCTATGCATGAATAGCTCGTGGGGGAATCACCTTGGTGATAAATACAACTTACTCTCTAAGGGAACAAGTTACGACATTCAGCAATCCTATAGAAAGTTCGATTTTGGCTCCTTTCTGCAACAGAGTTCCTGGTTGATATTAGAGCCTATACAATGTGCATACCTGCAAGGAAAATCATTCTTAGGACCTGTTCAACCTCCTCACTGGCTCAAACACAAAACCCTGGGAGACAATAGGGAACTGGACCAATTAAGTAATACTCCATAACCCAATGGAACTTGGAGACTACATTTCCACATTCCATTTACCATTCAGAAGTTAGCAGGGAAATCCTGACTTTGATCACATGAAACATGCGTTCTTCCCTTAGACTTAAATTTTTTTTTTAAAGTCTCATTTGGGAAAAATGCAATTAAAAAAACCCTGTAATTTTATCCAAATGGCCATGTGAGGAAGGAAAAAAAGAAGCCATCTTCCTCTTATGCACTATCACTGCCCAGGGGCCATTCTAACAGGAAACCCTTCAGAACACCACCCTGGATCAAGAACTTCAACATTAAGTTAACCAAACAACAACAACAACAAAATAAAGTCAGCATTTAGTCACAGCTCTGTCCTCCTGTAGAAGATCGTTGAGCTCAATAACAGTTGTGGCAAAATCTACCAGGTCTACAAAGTCAGATGTGATGATGTTGACACCCATCGCTCCAGGCTTCTGAGTCTTCACCCAGTCTAGGATGGCAGGAAGATTCCTACACAGAGGAAGGGGTTGGGGGAAGAGAGAACAGACCAATAAGAAGTCTAGAAAGAAAGGCTCCTCCAGAAATGGAAACATTTCTAGTTCAACTTTATGACTCTCTTAAGAATGAAGAAGTTGCTATGCCATCTGAGAACTACATTTCCCAGGGTTTCTCGTGTGGGAGAGGAAATTATTTAAATGACCCAAGCTCCAAAAAGGATAAACATGTCAATGGAACCTTGAAACATGACGCTCAAGAGCTTCATTACTGGTGGATTTTTAGATCATTTTAATCATGGAAAAATATATCAAAACTGAAAATACGTTATTATGTCAACGGCTCACATTTTACTATGCTTGCTTGTCATGTATCTATCCATGACTCCATTACCATCTTTCTATCAGCCCATCTTGTACTTTTGGCCTATTCCACTTGCAAGTGGCTATATACATCCCCTAAATGTGTCAATAGGTATACTAGGGGGTCAACTCTTGTTTCCTTGGGAAATTGAAGGCATGTTTAATAAAAAGCACAAATCTTAAGTTCACACTTAGTTTTGTCAAGTATACACAAATAAACCAAAGTCATCCCAATGATAACACACTATCAGCACTTCCCGAAGTCTCTTCTAAGTCAGTTCCTGCTCCATTTTCCCAGAGGCAACAACCATACAGATTCATCTTCCATGATAAATTAGATTTGCCTGTTTTAGAGCTTCATGTTCACCATGCATGTGTCTACAAATGTATTCTTGAGTTTTCTTTTATGTGGCACAAAATAGTTTTGAAATGTATCCTTGTTGTACATATCTGTATTTCTTTTAACTATTGCATAGTTTTTCATTGTGTGAACATGACATAGATTGTTTATTGTCTGTTTCCAATTTTTGGTTTTCAATTTTTATTATGAATAAAACTATTGTGGGCATTCTTCTACAATTCTCTCTTTTTTTTTAATGGCATTTCTTTACATTTCTCTTGGCTAAAAACCAAGGCATAAAATATCTGTCTAACAAAGTTGGCTTACATGTAGTCTTATAAGAAATTACCAGACCTTTTCACAAGGTATATTCCGGCCAACAAACCAGATAGCTCTGTTTGCTTCTGATGCTACCACTCTTTTAAATTCTAGTCATATTAGCGGACATGTAGTGAAATCTGTATGTATTAATTTGCATTTCTCCTGATGAATAATCTTTTTGATTATTCATGCTATGTCTTGTTTGACAGTCTTAGTGAAGATTTTTTGGCTATTTGTGGATATTCCTGGAGGTTTCTGTTCAATACTGCATTGTTTTTTCATTTTCCTTTTCTTAAATGTTAAGTTATGGATATGATTTACAGATTATAAATCATTTGAAGGCTTTCTACATGATAAACACTTTCATCCAAAGAAGCTCTGAGTTTAGTTTCACAAACCAGTAAGTGGATGTGATGGTGTTGAGGTTAGATGTAAATGTGAACACCATCAGCAGAAAGAGGCACGAAGCATAAAAGCATGCTTACAGTTTCACAGTCTACTAAATACCCAATAGGTTGAAAACAGCTTCAGGAAGACACAACCTGGTATGTCTGATTATTCTCTTAATTGTCCCTTCACCCTTCTTTTGGTCATACCCACTTTGGTTGTTATTTTTCCCTTTTCTTTCTCCTTCATAGCTCCCTCCTTTTTTTTTTTTTTTTTTTTTTTTAAAGAATGAGTTCTGACTTATCAGTCTTCTGAAAAAGCAAGTTATTAAATACTTGATAGCATTTTTCTCATTCATGATGACAACTATAATCCATCCTGGGTCTGTTCCTTCAGTGGAACCTACAGTTGGTCATGAGCTAAAACAATTTACAGTGTTATAGTTATAGCTGACTTGTGACTTAGTAGACTACACATTCCTCAGAGTACTTCCTTTTTCTTAGCTAGACTTCTGAAGAATTACTAAACTCAATATGATTTTACTCTCCCACTGTCCCTCATCCTCTCTCCCTGTAAAATAAGGATCATAATGATATAGTAGATAGATTTTTAGAGGGATGAAGTAATGGGAATATAGTAAGTACTGTGAGGGCATTTGGCAGAAGAAAAGGAATCATATTGTGGAACTAAGGGTAAGATATTTCCTTAAAATACTAAGACCTTGCCACCTAGGCAACAAAACGTCGTAGCCTAAGAATGATGGAGGTAGAGACTATGCTGGGAATTACACAGTGGCTCCTGAGCCTGGTGCATTGAAGCTTTCCCACAGTCCCTAGTCAATGTTTTAAGTATGGAATGCAGGCGCCATCTGCTGGTCATCATGGGGAGATAAGATTTGAAGGCCTAGTGGCCCAGCTCCAGAAATCTGCAGCTTGGAGCCCAACCCGAGCCTGAGCAGAGAAATGTGGGAAAGGTATGTACCAGTGGTCTCCAGGGACAAAAAGCCTTGTGTCTGTTTTGCATTATACCTGCCAGCCTTCCCCAACGCTAAGATCAAATAATCAGGATTACGTACAAAGAAAGGGAAACATTGAAGCTGTGGTGAAAGGGCAGCCACTCATTCTTTGCTTAACTCCTGACTTTTACCAGAAAGAGAGATCCAGCAAAAAGCAGAGCCAGACATTTCTGACACCAACAGGCTACAGAGCGTACAAACTTCCCTTTGACCTTGAGGCCCACTGGAGAATAATGCTGGGTCCGGTGCCTTTCTAAAGTGTTTCTTCACCGACATACATACTACTTTGTGCCAGGCACTGTGGTAGGATTTCCAGCTTAAGTCTACAGTTTTGTGAGGTATTATTAACCCCACTTAACTTGTGAACGAAGTCCCAGCACAGAAAATTTATCCAAGGCTGCCTGGTTGCTAAGAGACCCTATTAGTTTGCTGGCTAGGGCAGCCGTGACAAATACTCACTGGTTGGTTTCAAGGAGTGTAGTGAATTTCCTCTTGTTTCAGAGGCTAGAAGTCTGAAGACAAAAATGGCCAGAGGTCTGATTTCTTTCCTCTTTCCTTGTCTTGCAGATGTTACCTTCCTATTGTCTGCTTCCTGGGGCAGCTTCTATGTACACGGCCCTGCCGTCTCTTAGTGGGTAGAAATGTCCTCTTCTAAGGACACCAGGTGAAAATTGTGTCAAAGTCCATACCAATTGTCTTTTCCCAATTTAATTACCATTTCTCTCTCTTTTGGACAGTATTGTGTTTGAACTCAGAGCCTTGCAAGGGGCTCTTACTCCTTGAGCCACACTCCATGCCCTTAATTATGTCTTTTACAAAAGCCTTTCTCCAAAAATAGTCCCCCGCTGAGGTAGTGGGGTTAGGACTTTAACATATGGATTTTGGGAGAAGAGGCATACTGTACCACCTATCACAGGCTGGTCCCAGGCCTTCTGATTTCAGTTCACATCTCCTAGGTGCCTTGTGCCCCGGCTTAGGCAAAAACTCACTTTGGTCTGATCTCAGTGAGAATGCTAAGAATCTGAATTTCAGGATTTTGCAAATCTGAGGGCAAACGACTATCAGAGTTCAGTCTGAATATCTATAATTTTCTGTGGTTTCCTTCCAGGGTGATGAACCAAGGTGATGAAACAAGATTTCAGGTGCATAGTTCACCTATGAGTTTGGGAGCTAACTCCCTGATTGAGAAAAGGATCTCTTTAGTTGAAGGACAACCAACCTTCCCCTGGGTTTGAATTGATGATCAGTGTTCAGGAACAGCTGGAGAGCATTCCCATGTGGCTGATCAGTGAGGACAGACCCACTGGGTGCTGGTACTCAAGGAAAGGACCTATGCTTACTCAGTAGTTCAGAGGAAATGGCAGCCACGTGCTGCCCTGGCACTGGGAAACACATTATTCTTGGCCACGTCTGCATTTCCTCTTTGGCAGATGTGTACAGGAATGTGCTTGTGACCAGCAGAGGTGAAGATGACAAAGTATCTTCCAGTCTAAGGAACATCTGCCTACCAGTTGGGCAAGAATTCTGCCATACTGGGAGACCTGGACTTTGGGCACATGGTACCATCATTATCACTAAACAAGGAGCCTAGCATTCATCTACAGCCAGAATAATGTAAGAATTTTGAAGTTTATACACAATTTACTTCATGGGTTGTTTTTCTTGACTGTGTCTTATCTTAAGTGGGGAAAATAATGTGCTTTGGACAATGTGCCCTTCTAGAGACTGGCTTGGATTTAAGAAGCAAATGAAATCATTCTCAAAATAGTACTTTCTGTTCAGAATACAGAACACAGCTATAACTTCCTTATTCTCATTATCTCTCAGCAAAGACTTTTATTAGCGTGATTTTCGCCTTACTTTACAGGAATCTTTCTGTTCATTTTTCCTATGAGCTGGTGAGTTTCAGAAGTCAGAGACTACATTTTCTATCTGTTATCTTTGTACCTGCCCTCTCTTCGATACTCACTTTAGTGAATGAATAATCCAGTAATATTAATTTATACATTTATAATTCATACATTAATTTATACATTTATGGATGCATGAACAAATGCTATAAAATGAGTTTGTAATTCTAGATCCTTAGATGTCATACTAGCTTATCAAATTCTTTTTACACTTGGGTGCAAACAATTCAATCAAGTCTTACAAAAGCCACATAGAGAGAGGTTACTTGTTGTGTTCATTGTCAATATAATCAGGAGGCCTCACCAAAAGGAAAACTGTAGCTATCTCTTGTTTAGGCGAATTATTGTTATTTGAACTCAAGCTATCTAACCTCAGAACACAAGTATGTATGAATGATTTTCTTACTACCTGTACTGAAAGTCAGGAACTAAATGGATTCTTACAGATACCTTTTGTTTTCTAAAACATATTTGCTTTCTGAACTTGGATTGCAAGAGATGCCCTGCTCTCCAAATATATTTGTAACATATAAATCGATGCCCACATACACATATCTACTTACATACATATACACAATGCACATATATACACATATATGTGCATATATACTTACATACAGATGTGTGCATATATACCCATATTCCTTCATAAGTACATACATATAAACATCTATACACATATACATATAAATATATACACACAAACACATAGACATACACACACGTAATTATCTTTTTCTAGATAATATCTATCAGTTGTTGGTCTCCAGGATGATGAATGTTAATCGTCTCAGACAGAATGACTGAATGTCTCTGTGAGATGGTACAGTCATGCTTAATTCTTCCCTGAGGAAGTATCTGTAGCTATGGCATGATTCTCAGGACTCAGTCACTATGGAAGGGAGAGGAATGAATTCATTCCTACAGGGCTCACCTCTAAGTCCCCATCACTCATCAGCACAGCCAGCAGAGTGTTTAATTATTCTCCGGTGAGGGAGTGCCTACCTGGCCAGCTGCAGGGGTGTGGGCGGTCATGTGTGAGAAGAGAATAAACACTACAAGGGGCGCAAAGTGCTTTGCCTTAGAATTACAATTTAGGAAGTATTTATGGAATAGTGGGAACATTTTAACAGAGTGCTTAAGAATCCTTCAGGTACTTTTAATACAATCTTCCTCAAATCTACATTTTTTCAATCTGCAAACTTCATTGTCAGAAGAGAATGAAGATTAATGACCTTGAAAAACCTTACCAGGAGGTGACATTATTCAAAAAGAAATGTACTCATTACCTGACTTAAGTAACTATAATTCCTCTATCACCTTTACAATAACAATACATTTTTAAAAAAACAATTAAAAAAAAAAAAACTCCAAACCCTACCAGAGCCAGGCACTGGTGGCTCACGCCTGCATTCCCATCTACTCAGGAAGCTGGGATCAAAGGATCATGGTTGAAAGCCAGTACAGGTAAGAAAGACTGTAAGGCTCTTTTCCCCAATTAGCCATGAGAAAACTGGAAGTAAAGCTGTGGCTCAAAGTGGTAGAGTGCTAGCTTTGAGCAAAAGAGCTCAGTGACAGCACCCAGGCCCTTAGTTCAAGCCCTACAACCACTATCATAAACAACAAAAACTTACCAGGGGATAGGTGCCGATGGCTCATGCCTGTAATCCTAGCTACTCAGGAGGCTGAGATCTGAGGATCATGGTTCAAAGTCAGCCTAGACAGGGAAGTCCAGGAGCCTCTTATCTCCAATAAATCACCAGAAAAAAACAGAAGTGGTGCTGTGGTTCAAGTGGTAGAGCATTAGCCTTGAGCTGAAGAGCCAGGGGACACTCAGGCCCAGAGTTCAAAAAGTCTTAGCAGGGATGTGGGGCCAGGCATGGGGGTGCATGCCTGTAATCTCAGCATTTGGGAAGTAGGGAGGCAAGAAGGTTGTAAGTTTGAAGCCAATCTGGGCTGCATATGGAGACTGTCTCAGAAAATATCAGCAACATGAAGAACAAAACCACCACCAACAGAAACCTTACTTTTAGGGTGGAAGCCAACGTTACCTGTGAACCAGAGTGTTTTTGAGGCCTCCAACCAGGCCTCTGGCGATGGTCTTCACTCTGGGGGTGAGGATCGCCTGGGACACATGGAAGGAGCCGCGTGGCGCTCGCTCACTTAGTGTGGTCTCCAGGAAGAGGATTAGTTTGCGCACACTTGTGGTATTCGCCCAGGGTGCTGGGATCTTCTTTCCTGGCCATAGGAAAGGGTATTGCTTGTAGAAGGGACAGTGATAGAAAATAAGAACCTGAAATGTTCAGAGCAGGGAAAGGAAAAGGTTGAATGTTAGTTTGTTTTCTTAATTTACTTATTTTTTTACTCTGATTGCTGGAGGGGAAATCAAACAAACAGATGTAGGAATTCAAGGAATGCTACATATATTTAAAGACAAATCAGCAAAGATGTAGTGAGCACTTGCTATGACTCAAAGATTCTCAAATGTAGGTAGGTGTCAGTGGCTCATGTCTGTCATCCTAGCTACTCAGGAGGCTAAGATCTGAGGACCATGGTCTGAAGTTGGTCTAAGCAGAAAAGTCGGTAAGACTGCTCTTATCTTCAACTAACTAAACATCTAGCACTAGATTTGGGTCATTAAAATTAAGGGTTAGTACCCAGATCCAAGTTTAAGCTTCGGTACACACACACACACACACACACACACACACACACACACACACACACACACACACACACACACACACACACACACACACACACACACACACACACGGTTTTTTTTAACTTTGTGTTTTACCATGAACAGTTAGGGAAATACAGTAACATTACAGACCAGCTTCTCAGAACAGTGTTCTAAATAAAACCATAAACCTGACCAGATTACAAAGGAAATCAGGGATATGAAAGTATGCCTATTCATATTACATAAATGTGAGAGATTAATGTATGCACTTTGTGATATATAATCAAATTATTTGTGGAGATTCTGAGTTCTATAATGTAAGTCAGTGCTAGTTTAAGCTCTCTCAATAATTGTGCAGTGACAGATTCACACCTATGAGAAAAAGTAACAGGTGGATCCAACGCTCAGTGTAGGAATTTTTAGTTAAAAGGTTAGTAAAAATGAATATGAAAAATGAATATGCCATCCAAATTCAGTCTTGTTAAAATCTCTCCATACACCCACCCAGGGAAGCTTTTGGACCTCAGGCTGAATACATCAGAAGTTTCTGGGTTGAGTTGGTCATAAGGTTTTTTACAAGTTATGTTTCGGGTGCACTGGCACTCAGCTCTTAGAATTTAGTTTATGTAAACACAGAGAACGAATTGGGGAATAAATAGATTTTCAACTGTGCTCACTGACTCCGAATGGAATCCTTCTCCCCAGGAGAGAAAGAGGGTGAGCACGAAGTCAAGGAAGAGTTCACACAGTCAGTGGGTCTCCAGTGGGATGGCTCACGATGGTGGTAATTTTGAAAATAATTAGCAAGCCATATCCACAGCATTAATTAGTTTCTGGGAGGCAGCCATGGGACAGGGAATTGCTATTTTGATCGTCCCAATTCAGAGCTCTACTGAGCAGGTTTCTAGAAGTAATACATATTATTTTCCCCCTATGGGCACCAGCGATCACTTCCCAGAGGAATGGTGTGTGTGTGTGTGTGTCTATTTACACTGCCTGACTGTAGTTCTCAGTCAGCGGACAGGATTATCGTCCAGGCTCCCAGAAACAGAGCTCTGTGGGCCAGTCTCATTTCTGGTGCATTCAACCAGGGAGGAAAGAGACTGACTAACTACTCCCAGAAGGCTCAGAGCCAGGGAGCACCAGATTGGAGTGTACCACTCAGGGGGATGGATGCTCTTGTTTGTAATGGTTCTGAGTAATGCTGTCTGACTATAATGATGTCGGTGGTAAACATGCGTGTTAATGAGGTTAATCACAGGCTCATCTTAAGCAGATTGCCTGGGAGATGGGAGGATTTCCTCTTGGCTGTGTAATTGGCTAGTTGGGAAGGCTGAGTCCTGTGAGGTGAGTGCCCTGGGCAGTAGGCCAGGGAGAGGCAGGAGTTTGTGCAGCCCAGTGACAGTCTGGCTGCACCTTATCCCATGAAGGTGCCCTAGGGCCAAATGTCAGAACAAGAGAGGCTGGTGCAGGTTCTGCCCTAGAAAAGGTACAGAAAGTAGATCTCTAGGGCCTCTTGGAGCAATTTGTGAGAGTTTGCAGCATAATCTTGGTTGACTGTGGGAGGCTGGGCTGGCAAACCAATTCTCAGGGTACAAGAATCCAGGTACAGTGACCGTCAATTTCTGGGGACTGCCTCCCCCCTCCTCCCGCCAGAGTATTAATATTTCTCTGAAATAGTCTCCCCGCCAGCTCAGTAGCTCATGTTTGGTTTGAGACTCAGTTTAAAATAAAAATCTCATTTTCTTTAAGGATAATTCCTTGAGTGACTTTATTCTGATCTTTCCTTTGTTGGAGCCAGAATAAAGATTTCTCTCTCTCTCTCTCTCTTTCTTTCGTTCTTTTTTCTTTCTTTCTTCCTTCCTTTCTTCCTTTTTCTTTCTTTCTTTCATTCTGTCTTTTTTTTTTTTTGTCAGTTGTGGGGCTTGAACTCAGAGCCTAGTTGCTGTCCCTGAGCTTTCTCTGCTCAAGGATAGCAGCTCTACCACTTTGAGCCACAGCACCACTTCCAGTTTTCTGGTGGTTAATTGGAGGTAAGGGTCTCATAGACTTTCTTGCCTGGGCTTGCTTTGAACCATGATCCTCAGATATCAGCCTCTTGAGTAGATCAGATTACAGGCAGGAGCCACCATCGCCTGGCCAGGATACAGATTTACGCTGTGTTCTACTTTTCAACTCATGTATTGCAAAACTCACTTTCTTCATAAGGCATAAAATATTTGAGGCAGTGCTATTTTACAATGATCTATTGATTATAGTCCACTAGTTTTTGGCATTGCATTTCTCCTTCAATCCTAATACTTCCGAGATGTGGGTTAAATCTTCTAATCCATTGTACCTTTGGAACTCCTATTTTCTAGTGTGCCAGTGTGTACCTGTGAACTGTGATATATATGCATGCTGATCCAATAGGTAGAAACACACTTCCTGATATTAAATTACAGTAACAATATACTCAGGAGGTATATGAAAGGTAGCTTGTCCGATAATAAAGTTTGACCACCAGTGCAACAAGGCCCTAGCTAAGTGACTGGTAAGTATCATTTAGATCTCTGGTTTCAGCTTTCAAGAGTCATATCTGAAAAAACAAGGAAAGGAAGGAGCAGGGAAGGTGTCTTGGGATTTAAGTTGGTGGCACTCAACCTTCCACAGGTTCTTTCCATCATGATTTAGGAGTATTTGTAGTTTGATGTGTGACACAGTTAAATCAGCCCATATTAACCATGATGATAGATCATCATTCTGCTTTGAGAAATTCAATATCTACCCTATTTCTTATTCCTGAAGGTACACCTTTGTCTCGAGGATTGATAGTCTATTTAATATGCAATCGGTCAACCATTGAGAATACTAGGTTTGTACACAATTATACAATTTTCTCGGGACTCCACTTAAACCTTACCCGAATCCCTACATTCAACAGCCATCCCTCTAATTTACAAAGAGAAAGTGCTTTTAATGGCAGTGCACGGAACAGCAGTTGTGCAAATCATCAAATGTGCTAGAATCAGAAGCCCTCAGCATCTGCAGCCAAGGGAGCTGGAGAGAGGCTGTGATTGAATCCTGCCTCTGACCTCTTATGAATAAAAGTAAGTGGCTTCCTCAGTTTCTTCATATGCCAGGATCAGGTGAGTTAATCCATGCGCCTACCACATTGTTACAGTTTAGTAAGTGATAGCTGCTAGTGGTTGCTTTTATTTTATAATGTTAGAGAAAAACTCTACTGGGAGTAAATCTCCCTGGGTTAAACATGTGAGTCTGGATAGATACAAACATAGGTTTAAGGGTAGAAATATAATAGGTATTTGGCAGAATATTCTTTAGAAAGCTGCCTTTTTTATTTTTATTTTTGCTAGTGTAGAGACTTGAATGCAGAGCCTCATGTTCTTGCTTAGCTTTTCACTCAAGGCTGGCAAGAGTGCCACTTGAGTCACGCACTTTCATTTCTGGCTTTTTGCTGGTTAATTGGAGACAAGAGATTCTCAGATTTGTCTGCCTGGGATGGCTCTGAACTAGATACCAGGATGAGTTCATGAAGTGTATTTAGCATGAAAGACATCGCTTACTTTTGCTGGTGTGATTGACAAACTGGTATTTCTAGTTCCTCAGGCCCAAACCTTGGACTACACTGGAATCTTGGCCTTCTTTGGTACTCAGACTCTAACCTATCAGCCTGCTGGCTCTACCTTCTGATCTATTCACAATATGTCCACTTGTCCCTGAATCTCATTGTTTTTCCCAGTTCTTCCTGAGATCCTGCTGTTTCCTGGTACAGCAGCCAGAGGGTACCATTAAAACCTGAATCAGGCCATGAGCTATGCTCGAACTGTCATCACAGGCCACCCTCGGTCTCTCTAACCTCTTTTTCCCTGCTCTACCCATCTGCTCTCTATCCATACCATTCCTACTTTTCTTCAGTGTTATCAGGGAAATTCCTGTCTTAGGGAATTACCAACACAGTTTACTCTGTCCCCAATTACCAACACAATTTCCTCGGGCAAATGCTATGTTTTCAATGAGAGCTATGTAAAATTGCAATCAGCTTTCCCACCCAAAGACCCCTGGTTCTTTCATACCCCACTAGATCTTTCCTTTGTATATAGCTCTAGAAACATACATAATGTATTTGTATATGTTATCGTTTTTTCCTTTTACCTTCTCTCCCTCCTGTTGAATGCAAAATTCTCATTAGTAAGTGCTTTATTTACTGATTTTTCCGAATCCATAGAATATCCATTCTTTTAACTCCTTAAGTTAAAAGAAGATGGATTGCTTAATGTGTCTACTAGGCAAGTGAGAGACCTTGCCTTTTCTTTTCTTTTTATTGTGAAGAGTCTAGGTTGGGGGGCAGGGAATGCAGCTTAGTGGTAGAGTGCTTGCCTAGCATGCATGAAGCCCTGGGTTCAATTCCTCAGTACCAAATAAACAGAAAAATCTGGAAGTGCTGCTGTGGCTCGCTCAATAGTAGAGTGCTAGCCTTGGGCAAAAGAAGCTCAGGGACAACACCAGGCCCTGAGTTCAAGCCCTAGGACTGGCAAAAAACAAGAGTCTAGGTTGGAGGCTGCCCTTTTTCTTTAGAAGTTCTTCTATGTCACTACCATTCCTTGGGGGTAAGAATGGGATTTACCTTTTGTTCCGTTCCTTTTCCTGAGCAGGTCCTCCACGGGCCTTAGTTTGGAGGTTCTTCTCTACTTCTGTTACCTTGAGGAATGCTATCATAATCTAGACCCCCCCCCCCCACCTTTCAGTAGGTTCTCCTTTACCTCTGTCTCCAATAGTGACCTAAATTCTATGAAGAGGGCCTGAAAAATATTAATACTCCTGTGATGAATGCCTTCATATGCCTTTGTCAGTTAATGCTTTCCCTTATCCCTCAGTATCTTGGCAAGAATCATCTGAGTGCAGCTGGCCTGTGAAGTTCAACAGACCTTAAGAAAAGAAGAATAGCAATGACCCACTAGCCCATTTCACAACTTTGCCTTGGGGTATATCTGGTCAGTGCATCTGAGGTCAATTTAGATGCCAAACAGATTGCAGACAAACTAAATTAGATGGCAGGTGTTAAATCCAGTTCAACAGGACCCACAGAAGCCCTTGAAAGTTATCCTGGAGCTCCGAGTCCTGTCTCCATATGTTCAATACTTCCAACAATCCACCCTTCTACCTCTGAGCTCTGGGTGCAGCTATGTTACAAATGATAACCCAGGAAAAGCAGAGGGTTAGGTTGTTGCCCTTAGGAGCTCAACTCTTCTTCTCACCTACCTGATGCTTCTGTTCCCACAGGCTTCGCAGTGTCATGCTTTCCACACTGCAGGCTGGGCACAGCTTGCTTCCAAAGGCTTCCTGGATTCGGAGAACCAGGTATTTGTGATGAGCTTCATCCATGGCATAGAAGTGGTTGAAATCCAAAAAGACAATCTCTTGAGGGTGTTGAGTGAGGAACGCATCGATCTCCATCAATCCATCCCAGACCTTGATGCCAAAAAGCCCGTGGATGAAGTAAATTTCCTGATCAGCATCTCCTGGCTTAGAAGAAACGCGCAGGTCAAAGTAGCGGATCCCAGCCTCCAGCTGTTCGCGGAAGGTCAGGTTCTGAGTCACAGACCATTTCTTCATCAGCTTCTTTACCAAGGAGATCCTGGCCAGGCGTTTGATAGCTGGGGTTTGATCAGGCCCCACTGGGGACTTTTCATCTACCCAATAGCTGAAAGAATCATGGGAACCTGTACAAAGCAATAAAAAAAAATGAGGAACACAGATGGAGCTGGAGAACCAAGCCAAGAGTAAGAAAATAACTGTGATGATTAAGAATCAACTACACAAAAACTATCACAAATGAATACTTGCGAAAATTCCCAAGCCTGTGAGGAGGGAAATAAACTCAAATAAAAGTAACACAATCCTATTAGCAGCTTGTTAAGACCAGAGCAATTCTATAATTCTCATATATTGTTGGTGTAAGATAAATTAAGAAGTATCCTTGCAGAAAACCATTTAAGAAATATGCTTAGAAATTGAGCTTTAAAATATTTATGCCGTTTTGATCAAGTGATTTCATTTCAGGAAAGCTGTTCTGAAGGAATAAACTCAAATGTTTGGAAAAACAAAGACGGATGCTGCAGAAAAACCTAATAGGTCTCTAGTGAGGGTTGCACTTATTTATTTATATATTTGCTTGTTTATTTTGCAGTTCTTAAGACTGACCCCAGGAGTCAGTATTCATTCTTGCTAGTTAAACACTGTACTGCTTGAACCATGCCCCTGTTCTTTTTACTTTTTTTGTTGTTGTTGTTGGACATGGAGCTTGAACTCAGGGCCTGGGCGCTGTCCTTGAGCTCTATCACTTTGAGCCACAGCTCTACTTTCTGTTTTCTGGGGGTTCATTGGAGATAAGTCTCCAGCCTGTCTGGGCTAGCTTTGAACCATGATCCTCAGATCTCAGCTTTCTGAGTAGCTAGGATTACAGGCATGAGCCATCAGCACCTGGATCTTTTTACTTTTTAACTCATATGTGCATGATCATTTAGTGGTTATACAAAGGAGTTACCATGTAACACATCAGTTTATGAATGCAATGCATCTTGATCGATGTCACCCTTTCATTGTTCTCACCCATCCTTACAAACCCACCAACTTGTCCCAATTTTCTTAACTTTGTAGGATACGCATTGATTACTATGACTGCATTCTCTCCTCACCCTTGCTTTATTCATCTATCTCCATCCCCAGCTCTTTTTAAAAATGATAATGTTTTAGAGACAGGGTTGTATGCTAATGTTAGCAAAGGAGGGCTCCGAACTTGCAATCCTCTGCCTGTGCCTCTTGAGTAGCTAGGATAACCAATAATAAATATGTGTAGGTGAACATAATTGTTAACAAATACTTTCAATTTCATCATTGCTTTCTTTCCAGTGTCAGCCGTTATCACGATAGCAGGCTGCTTTCTTTAGCCCAGTGACTGGCTCTGAGGTGGGACCGCACAGACAGCCTGGATGCACTTTGTGTGCCAAGGCAGGAGAGAAGCATCCTTGTTCTAACATTGACACCTTGTCCTCCACTGCTCCTCAGACATGTGTCTACACGTAGTACCCGTTACCAGCTCTCTCTCTCACTGAATTTTAGAGTATGTATCTCAGACACAACCCTGAACTTTATAAAACTACCACATTATGCTATATTTTTCCATTCTTTCTGAAAACACAGCACCCTCTTCAGCCTTTTATTATTTTATTATCTTGAAAATGAAGTGTGAAGAAAACAGGTAACAAATAATGCTTTCTTCTTCTGTAAGGTGGAAGAGATTCAGTAAATAGTAAGAAAATTAATCCTTTGGCAAATTGAAGTTCACAAGTGAGTAAATTGCCAGCATACTTCAGGTTAAAGACTGTCATTACTAATGACATGTCCATGTGGATGTTCATATTGTTGTTGCTGTTGTTTTTTTTTATCCCGGCCCTGGGGCTTGAGCTCAGAACCTGGGCACTATCCTTGACTTTTTTACTCAAGACCAGTGCTCTACCACTTTGAGCCACAGCGCCACTTCTAGTTTTCTGGTGATTAATTGGATAGAAGAGTCTCACGTACTTTCCTGCCTGCGCTGGCTTTGAACTGTGATCCTCAGATCTCAGTTGCTTGTGTAGCTAGGATTACAAATGTGAACCACCAGTGCCTGGCTTTTACATTGGTTAGTGTTGCTCATGGGCTCACTGGGTGCTTGCCTTATGATCTATTTCCTTTTAATGCACATCAGCAAGAAATCTTTTATACCTTCTCATTGAGAGACTGATAATGAATACCTTGTATATACATGGGGAACAGCCAGTTCTCTTTCCCTTTTAAATTGTATTAACAGCCCAGCTGCTCAGGCTTCAGTGTGTGACAGAGTGAGGCACATATTGGACTTAATTCTTCCCTGGGCACAGGGAACAGCCATTATCCAAACATAGAGGAGAGACAAGTCCCCTAGTGTGTGCTTGTTGGTGCTGAGCCCAGTTTCAACTCCACAGGGAGAAGTGCTAACAACCTCCAACACTTTTCTCTCTGTCTCAGAACTGTGCTGAAATGTGGCAGCAACAGTCCCCTGGGGGTGATTCCCACACGGTGCCCAGTCCTCCCCACAGAGGGAGAGGGTACACATTCTATGTCTCTATGTCTTTTTAACTCTTTGCTACTTTTTCATCTCTCTGGCCAGTAGTCGTATGCCTTCTGATACCCTGTGCTGTCTACCTACCCCCCACTTCCACAAGGCAAGACTGTGGAGCAGACTGCTTGCTGAATGACACTTAGTGAAACTGGCCTACTTAGGCCCACAGCCGACAAAAGCAACCCTTCCCTGGTAGCCACTATCAATAATTTTTGCCTTTCTACTTACTTGGTTTGGGGGGAAGCTTTCACCTGATAATAATAAGTAAAGAATGTCATTCACTTAAATGCATTTAATTTTTTTAAAAAAAGATCAAAACAAGCTAAAAATAACCTCTCTCCTGCCCATTCAACATTTATGTGCAATGCATTCTTAAACAGTGCCTCTACAAATCCTATTACTTTATAATCCACATTCATTATCAGTAAGTTCTCCCTTTCTCCACTGTCTATGGAAGTTATTTTTCTCCTTAACCACCATCTATAATAAGAACAATTCCCTCTCTGCCCTGGGATAATGAATTAAATCCTGCCCCCCTCCCTAGAAGAGGAGAAAATACTGGTTTATTGGTCCTTGCCTTATTTTATTTTATTGTCAGAGAACTGGTGCAGAAGGATATCTAGGTATAGGAGCGTCATTCATTCTGGCTTGTTTCATGATAAGGGCAGAACACAGAACAGGAGCTCATGTGCTGTGATTTCCTGCAAGTATTTTTGCTCCAACGACACAGCATTGCCTGTGTACCTTCACTCTACTTCATGTTTCCTCTCTCTCTGCCTCAAAGAGTACCACTTTAATGAGGTACTATCTTAACATAAAACAAAGCACACTGCCTCATGTGTCTTCCCTTTGATACTGCTGGCTTCTCCGTCCTCCCTGCAGTCAAAGTCTTCAACTTCCAGGCGGGGCTGCAGCATTAGTCTGTGCTTCCCCGTGCCTCACCAAATCCACTTCCCACCCTCCTACTGTTACTCTCCATCCCCACAAGCTTCTCGTCAACATATCCAAAATGATGTTACTCTCTGAAGGTTTGCCAAGTCAGCTCTTTTCTGGATCCTTCCATTCTCTTGTGCTTGGTGATGCATCTGCATATTTCTGGGTGTTTCTATCTTCTCTCCACTTTTTTCTTTCCATCTCCCTTGCTTGCTCCTCTTCTTCCTTTTTTTTTTTTTGTTGTCAAGGTGATGTACAGAGGGGTTACAGTTATCTTCCTCCTTTTGGGCCCCATATTTAATGTCTTCCTAGGATCTCTTTCTTTTTGCTTTTTTCCCCCCTTTTCCTGGCTTGGGAGAGTCCAATCCATTCCCCTTTTACCATAGCAGCATTATGTAGGTAACACTAGAAACTTCTTTTCTGGCCCAGATTCTTCTAAGTCCTAACCTTCCTACAACTGGTCCTCCACCTGACAAGACTGCCCACATAACAGTTTGCATTTATCCAAAACTAGCTACTCATGCAGTTTTAGCCTCATATAGTACCTCTTCTGAATTTCCATTGTTAACCCTGTCATTCAGACTTAGAGCCCCTGGATTGCACCAGACCCAGCCAGGTGCTCATGGCTCACATCTGTCATCATAGCTACCCAAAGAGGCAGAGATCGGAGAATTGTAGTTCAAAGGCAAACCAGGAAGAAAGCCTGTTAGATTCTTATTTCATATTAACCAGAAACAAATTGGAAATTGAGGTGCAGCTCAATTGGTAGAGTGCCAGCCTTGGGAATGAAAAAGCCAAATGAGATTGGACACACACACACACACCACACACACACACACACACACACACACACACACACACACACACACACACACACACACACCAATCACCAAGACCTTCTGAGCCAGATAATCCCCAGATGATTTTACTGAACTCCAGGCTTGACACTGCTATCAAGACAACCTTTCCCTTTCTTGACAAGTTCAAATACTAATCTGGTGGGAAGGCCATCCCCATGTCTAGGGAAATGTTTTTCTATCCAATCTACTGTTCTGGGAATGCTCACTGTAAACAACTGTGTAGTCACAGCTTGATAGTGGATAAAAGAGATATTGGAAGGTCTTATTTTCCTTATTGTATCTTCTAAGAAGTTATTAGATGGGGTTGCTCAAGTTTAATTAGGGCCTTTGGGATGTGTGCTGGGTCACAGAGGTCAGAATAAAGTCACTGGGACCGTGAAATCACGAAGGAAGAGAGATTGGAATGGGGAAAGTTAGCAGGATCCATGTTCAGTGTTATTGTTATTTCCTCTTGGATGGCCCTGAGATACAAGATCATCCAAGAGGCCAGGAATGGAAAGAGTGAGCTGGCCTTCTGACTTGCAGGAGCAACAGTTTGTCTTTATCTGGAGCATAAATTGCTGCTTGATTCTTCCTGTGGTTTGGTATCTGGGAATTAGAGATCTCAAGTGAGCACGAGGCGGTTTTTAGTTAAAAAACTTTCATTGCCTACTTTTTGCAAATTGGAGGCATAGCCATTTTCTGAACTCAGTTAAAAAGAATTTAAGTGAGCTTCCTGAGAATCTGATTTCTAAATACAAAGAAAAAAATCTAGTTCCCTTACTCTGAATAATACATTGCATTACAG